TAAATAAATCAATCCATATTTTAAAATAAATCATTCATATTTTAAAATAAATCAATCCATACTAATAAATTATTTAAAATAAATCAATCCATATTTTAAAATAAATCAATCCATATTAATAATTATTTAAAATAATCAATCCATACAACTACAATAATAAATCAATCTATATTTTAAAATAAATCAATCCATACAAATAAATTATTTAAAATAAATCAATCCATACTAATAAATTATTTAAAATAAATCAATCCATATTTTAAAATAATCAATCCATATTTTAAATAAATCAATCTATACTAATAAATTATTTAAAATAAATCAATCCATATTTTAAAATAAATCAATTCATATTTTAAAATAAATCAATTCATACTAATAAATTATTTAAAATAAATCAATCCATATTTTAAAATAAATCAATCTATACTAATAAATTATTTAAAATAAATCAATCCACACAACTACAATAATAAATCAATCCATATTTTAAAATAAATCAATCAATACTAATAAATTATTTAAAATAAATCAATTCATACTAATAAATTATTTAAAATAAATTATTTTAAAATAAATCAATCCATATTTTATAATAATTTATTTTAAAGTAATTATTTTATAATAAATTATTTTAAAATAAATAACCTTATTAAATTATTTAAAATTATTTTAATAAATAACTATATTTTATAATTGTTCTTGAAGAGGTTTGAAGACCTTTGAAGACATAAAACTAAGTCTGCACCGAGAAGAGCTCGTGTAGACGTTTAAAGAGCTTCTGTCTTCTAAAAAACAAACAGTCTGCGAAGCCTAATGTCTGCGCGTGGTCTGCGCGACACAGACATAAGTAGTTTGAAGAGCTTGCACAGTGAAAACAAACACCACCTTACCGTTATTCAAGGCACGCCTTTTTTTCCCGTTTTCCACGCAGTATATATTTTAAGTTCGACTGAATTTAGTGTTGCCGATTCATCTGCATTAAACTATTAGAAATTAAAGAGTTTAAAATTATTAATTTATTATTATTATTGAATATTATAATATAATCTTTTAAGCAATAAGGGTATAACATAAATTATGTTAATGTCATCTTTGTTTTTATTTTTTATATATAATATTTAAATATAATAAATTAAAAATTACTAGTTAATATATTTGAATACAAAACATTTATCATTTTACCTATGATTTTTAAGAAAATTTTGATAAATATATTTTGAGAAAACTAATTCATATATCATTGAACTTTGCTTGTTGACTCGTTTATACAACTAAACTTTCAATTTTATCAATTATAATTGAATTTTAATTTTACATTCAATTATGTCACTCCGTTGTTAAGTCACTAACAAGACGATTACATGACTAACGATTGCTGACGTAGTATGTCACACCAAAACAACGTAATTTTGATGTAATTGTTTTGATGCCTAAAACGATGTCCTTTTAGACACTAAACTTTAGGCTTATATCGATTTTGCCATTAAACTTTTAAATAATTTACTTTTTGGCACTACATTTTTTTATCGTCGTTGATAGCTAATTATTGTCCGTCACTGACCGTCTTTCACGATAAAATTTGAACGACGAACTACATACATCAAAATTAGCTTCATCAAGTGATCATTAAAAGAGGCCGGAGTATTAATACGTCAAACTTTTAAATATATTTTCGTCGATTTTGAGTGAGTTTAATGAAAAACCAATTATAGGGATAAAAAAAAAGGAATGAAATTCAAACGTTTTCATATTGATCTTGCCACAAAATATGACTAATGAAGGATAATGCTTGGCCGTCAGCAGTGACAAGAAAGTGCAGTGCTAAAAAATAAAATGGTTTAAATGATCGGTGGCAAAATCAATACACTCTTAAATTTTAATGTCTAAAACAACATTGTTTTAGGCATCAGACTAGTCGGGCCAAAATGATGCTGCGTTGTGGCATGTCATGTCAGTAATCTTTAGCCTTGTCATTGTCCTATTGTTGACTTAACGGCAAAATGATGTAACTAAATGTAAAACTAAAATTCAGTGTTAGAATTGATAAATTGAAAGTTTAGTGGTATAAACAAGTAGGCAGACAAAGTCTAGTGGTATCTGAAGTATTTTTTTCTATATTTTAATATAATTTATTTTCACATGAGAAAGAGCGTAGTAAAACCTAATTATTATTTAAATTTTATTATTAGACATTGTATTAGATATAAGTTACAATTTCATTTTTTTAATTTTGATATGATATTGTAGTGTTTGTAATATTCAAAATTTAAAAGTTTGGTCCTAACACAAATAATAGTCATTAAATATCTGAAGTTAAATTTTACTATTACTCTATCTTAATATACCTAAGTTATATATTTAATTTTTATAATTCAATTTATTAATTTATTTTTATAATTTAATTATATTATTTACATATTTTAGTTTTAAAATAAAAATTTTAAATTATAAAAATATAGAAGCTAAAACTAAAAAATTAGAATATGACGCATAGTATAGAGATTATTAACATAATTTAACTTGTGAATGTAGAAATAAAGAAATGGAAAAATGGTTAAAGTAAAGTATAAAAATAGTCCCTTGATTACAAGATGTTGTCTTTGTTGAGTTTGTTGAATATTAAAAGTTATAAAATGATCTCTCGATTATAAGACATTGTCTTGTTGAGTCCCTCAACTATTAAAAGTTATGAAATGGTCACGTGACTTTTCGTATGTTTCAAATTCATCTTTTTTTCGTTAATAAATTGGTTGTCGTATGGTTTGAACGTTAACTTGCTGACTAAGATATGATAAAACTTGATCCCAAAATCGTTTGAGTTGTATAGTCGTTTGAGATTATGAGATCAAATTTTATCACATCACAATCAGCAGTTTATCGTCCAACTCAAACACTATCAATTTTTAACATAAAAAGACGAGTTTGAAATATATGAATAGTTGGGAAGACCATTTTGTAACTTTTAATAGTCGGCGGACTCAACAAAATAATGTACTATACTCATTGGATCATTTTGTAACCTTTAATAGTTAGGGGAGTCAACAAAGCAACACCCTATAATTGGGGAACCATTTTTACACGTTAACCTTAAATGATTACAAATAATTAAAGCCTCAAAAGTAGCGAATCTATTAAGGTGTGAGAGTGAATACTAATCCATCTTAAAATTAAAATTTTATTTGGTAATTATTTGTTATATTAATTATATTCATTCTAAAATTTTATTTATGCATGCAAATAAATATGTATGATTACCTCAAAATTATTTTTGGATCTATTATTGAACTTGAATATTTCATAATTCTGAAATGAGAAGGAAAAAGGGAGGGTGTGGGCAACAGTAAACAAGTAATCATCAAAACCTAAACACATTGAGATTGGAAATGAGATAAAGATGTCTCCCATCTTGCTTCATCCAAAGACAAAACCTTATAATTAATTAGATTCCAACAACCCATGTCGCCTGGAATTGGACAAAGATGCATGCCTTTGTATTTTTACTGGCACATCTCCATTTTTATAATTTTATTTTTAATTTTAAAAATTCGTTCCTTTGAAGATTAAAAATTTTAGGGTACAGTTAAAACTTCAAACCCATCGGAATCACGTTTGGAAGTCCATTAATCCCTTTGAAATATATGAACACAAAGGTCAGCACCCACAAAATGTGACCATGTGGAGGCGGTTTCATTCATTCAATCAATTTTCCAGTATTTGACATTTCAATCATGGTTGGGTACGGTCGAGCGTAGATTTGAGGGATGGGGCATGCGGTGACAAGTAATTATTGCCATTTAATGAGCTTTTGGGTAGGTTGGCAATAATGGTCTTTGCTGGATTGACAAGGATTTGAGTTGAAGTTTGTCGTTTAAAAGAATTGATGATGAGAAAGGTGCTGCCAAACATCTAAGCCACTGCAATCACCGTCGGGATTCACCACCACTTCAATTTGCCTGTACACCAAAAGACATCATTTAGGCTAAAGAATCTAACCAGACTAAAAACAGTCATCATCATCATCATCTTCACACTATGTGTCTGGATTCATTCAGTGCAACAAACAAGTTCCCATTCATTTGAACACTAGCTCGATCAAGTCAAAACCATGAAAACTGATGGGTGATTAGCAATTTTGATCTTCAGAAACTGACCGAATATCACAGGTTTCTTAATCAAACTTGACATATCGATGAAAACTGTTTGAATTTCCTTTTTTTATTCATCAGATTCCCCTTGTTGTCAAATTTGAACTATTCATTGTATTTGCAAACTTTTTTTTAATCAAAACGTGTCTCTAACCAGAGTCAAAACTACCTTCTCCATCAAAGCCCAATAGCTAAATCTCCTTTAAATTACTAAACAAATTTCTAGTCTTCGACGGCTTGCGGTGAAAATCACTAGATACACTTCTTCCCCGAAGCTCTAACATGAGTAACATCAATTGTCTTCATTTGCAAAAGGGCAAGAAACTGATCTAGAAAGGCCAAAGTCCGGGTCTTGACCATGGCAGCACTAGTCGTATATTGGTACTATTGCGTTTGTTTTGGCACTGTGGCCGCTGTCTTCATTGGCTCCTTATGGGTTTCACGGGGGAAGGAGTGTCTGATAGAGGTTCGATCAGATGCTAATGGTTTCGTACGTGCACACCAAGGGCTCACTTTGGCTCAAACCAGCTATGGAGCAGTTGTTGAACAGGGGTGCACCCTGGGTGGCTATTGGTGACTCGTTTTGCTTCTTTTGTAATCATGACAGCATTCTTGTCGTGGAACACACTCGTATGGGATGCTTCCATTTTTGTTTACTACACCGAGGGAGTTCCTTTACGTTGACTTTTTATGCAACTGATAGCGTATTTGTTTTCTTTCCCATGCCCGTCTTTCTACACAATATTTAACATATCAATCGTCTAGCCGAATCCAAGTTCTGCGTTTTCCTTTTCCTACAGTCCAATTGGATGGGCCTTATAATCTGAAAGAAATGAACTGGGCCTTTATTGATTTCTCGAAGCAAACTTAGAAATCCAATAGTCAACTGCCATAACTTAAAGCTACCTGCCATTGCTGCCTTTGCTGCCTTTGACTAATGACCATTAACCAACATCTAATCTTCCTTGTCTGAGAGAGATCTGAGAAAACCTTGAACACCAAACTCCGATTATTTTTCCATATTCCCAATTTACAGTTCAATAAATGATGAATTCGAACGATGAAGGACTGGGGTACTGGCTTAGATGGCAAGTTCCGGTGTGTGCACTTATCATCGTCGCTCCATCTGTTTTAGCTTTATATGTCATCAGCAAAGTTAAAACAGAGCCGTTGTTTTTCAATGATTTATGGAAGCCACAGTGGAGAAAGCTCAATCCCTGCTGCCTTCTATATTGTAGAGCTTTTGTTTTCATATGCTGGCTCGGATACTGTTTGAGGTTGTTGTCTTAGAGAGAGAGGAGCTTTTGCTTTCTATTTCTACACTTAGTAAGATCATCTCCAAACTTGCTCTCATGTTTTTGTTTCTCTAAGAATGCTATATGCTCACAAATTTCTTTCTTGGCTGCATTCCTTGCATTAACAGTACTAGAAGGCTTCACCTTCATCTTAATTTCATTTCCTTTAGTAAAGTCATAAGCGTATGTGATAGCTAATCTGGTGATGCAACAAATCTGCAGGTGGATATTCGCATTGGTTATGGTCTATTTTGCGGTACTTAAGGATTAAAGATCTTGAATCCCATTTTCTTGTGGTGTAGGGTAGCACCTTCATAGATCTTAACGAATGCACTTTCTTTATGTAGCTGGGGACCGTCTTCTCTGCTTACGGATGTTGTGTGTGCTTAAATACACCTCTTCCTGAAAATGGTGCAAGTGACGAGTTTCTGAAAAGGGATGTGGAAGAAAATGTAATTCAAAACTCTGCGACTGTTAGGGAAAATGATGCGAGGGACAAAATCAAGTTGCAGAGTCGCTATGCTCAGGAGGAGATTCAGGAAAGTGCAGGATTTTGGGGGACATCTTATGCAAACTATATATCAGGTCAGTTGAAAAGCTTATAATTTCCATAGATAACACTTCCATGACGTGTTTCAATACGAGTAGTGTCTTTCTTTCACTGTAGTCAGCTGATCACTTGCTTTGCTTCATTGCATGCTTGTGCAGGTGCTGTCGTTCTGACAGATATCGTATTTTCGTGTGTTCTTGTTCCAGTTTTATTGGACTCACATGGTAAGTATGAAGATTAGACTTCATGTAGATTATCTATGCTACATTTATGGAAAAGTCTTAATTTGATCGCAAGCTTTTTGTTTATTTCTTCCTGGACAGTTAATGGGTTCCATGCATTCTTTGAACGTTGTTTTTCTTATCCTTGACACCCTTCTCAATAGCCTTGTAAGTATTACAACATTCCAATAAATAAATTCAGTGTAGTCAGGGGACCTGGAATTAAACAAATCTGGTCTCTTTTGTGCTAGCCATTTCCTTGGTTCCGGCTTGCATATTTTGTTCAATGGAGCTGTCTGTATGTTGTTTTGCAACGGGTTCTTCATGCCTGCGGTTTTACATGGTAAGTATGCTCCTTTTCTCTATCTGTTTCACTAAGTTTGGGTTTCGAAACCTAACAGATGCCGCTACTTTCCCAGGTGGCTGTATCCTTTCCTCGAGCTTAATACGCCATAGGCTCTTTTATGGTAATGTGGGAAGCAAACACAGTTCAATTAAGTTTTCTCTCCCTGTTTATGCAAGAATCTGATGAATGGCCATTTGCAGGTACTTTTCCCTTGCTGTGGTCCATATCCCCTGCTATGGCATGTATGCACTTATTGTAAAAGCTAAAAATTCAATCCTCCCAAAATTGTTCCCTTATGCTTTTGTGAGATCATTCTTTCTTTCTTTCTTTGTATATGAAGAAGGGGAGGGGATATTGTACTAATTCATTATTTTTGGACCGTCTGACCTTATTTGATATTTAATTTCGCCATACCATTGTACCAACTTCAGCAGATTAATTATTAATTTCTCTTAATAAAATGTTATTTCCTTTTAATATTAAATTCTTCATTAAAGCTATCTGTTTTCTAATTGATACTTCTTTTATTTAAAGTAAATATTGATTAATTGTTTGTTACATTTAACAAGCGAAAATAAGCCTTGTTATAACGAAATCTAGCTACTTCTAACTTATTCAAGTTATTATGTTTTTCTTCTTCTTTCTCTTAATAAAGCTGAATTATTTCTCTCTTTGCAAAAACAAAGCGTGGTGTTTTCTATTTTCATTCTTTTCTTCACGGCATTATCCAATCCAAGAAGGCAAGAACATAAAATGGACGACAGCTGCGCAGTGTGTGCTGACAATTTAGAATGGGTTGCCTTCGGCACCTGCGGTCATCGGGATGTGTGTTCCACGTGCGTTGCTCGTCTCCGCTTCCTCTGCAACGAACGCAGCTTCTGTATCTGCAAGACTGAATCCAATGTCATCTTCGTTACCAAGGTTATACTTGGAGCATCCCTCTTTCTGTTTAATTAGCTATTCTTTTGATTCTTTATTCGAGAATGATGATCAGGAAATCTCTTGTGGTTCAGGCTTTAGGGGATTACACGAGAAACATCAGTGACTTGTCTGTATTTCCATCTCAAGCACGAGAAGGGCGGACAGGTTTATACTGGTACCATGAAGATACGCAAGCCTTTTTCGATGATGTCGATCACTACAAAGTGATCAAGGCAATGTGCAGGCTTTCATGTAATGTATGCGATCAGTCCCGGGATAGAGTGAAACGGCAGGGGAACTTTAGGAACATCGAACATTTGAAAGGTCATTTGTTTCATATGCACAGACTGATTATGTGCAGCCTGTGTTTGGAAGGACGGAAGGTAAGGTCACTTTCCTAATGAATGAAAATGTGATCATTGTGTGGCATTATATATAGTTTGTTTGCATGCATCGATTTGCTCACTTGTTTCCTTTGGGCGATGTAATTGTAGGTGTTTATATCTGAACAAAAGCTATATTCTAGAGCTCAGTTGGACCGACATATAAAAAATGGTGACTCTGAGGTGGATGGAACCGAGAGTGAGAGAGGTGGATTCATGGGGCATCCAAACTGTGAGTTCTGCAAGACCCCATTCTATGGGGAAAGTGAGTTATGCCTCCACCTGTCCACAGAGCATTATACATGTCATATATGCCAAAGGTACTGAGGTATTCGATTTTTAGGACACAACTATAAGTGGACTTATTGTTGCACATTCTTTTTCAATGCAGGCTGCATCCAGGACAACATAAATATTACAAGAAATACGACAACCTCGAGGCAAGACGACTTCTATGTGATCATCTTATGCTTTTTTTGTACTTTTGTTTTAGTTTTATGGTTAAATGGAATTCTGTAAAATGTCTGCCACAGATTCATTTTCGCCAAGATCATTACCGATGTGAGGATGAGGCTTGCCTTGCCAAAAAGTTTATTGTCTTTCTGTCTGTAGCTGAACTAAAGGTAACTTCTTGGGGCGTTTAAATTTTGTTTTTCCTTGGTGTAGCTCACCTCTTATCTTTTCTCATATAAAGTTACCTTATATTTTTCATTTTTATCCTTTCAGAGGCATAATACCATTGCACATGGAGGTCGCATGTCTCGTGCACAGCGTAATGATGCTTTACAAGTATGTAGCATGATCATACTTCTAATGAATAGACTCTAGTCTAGACTAGTTAATTTAATCCTAATTCATTCACTGGTATGCTTTCATTTGTACATGCCTTGTTTACTTCTTTGTTGTTTTGTTAATTGATCGTACTTTCTTTTAGCTACCAACTAGCTTTAAGAATCGTTTGAGTAATGAAGATAATGGTTACGGAAGGGAGACAAATTTTCGGCCTCAACTGTATGATAATGGCTATCAACTTTCAATGGTCACTGAGGCAAGTTTGGGGACAGCCAATGTTCCCTCGGCATCATCTACTGTGCAGGTGGTCTGTACTCAAGGTGGCACAAATAATATTGATCCACTTGTTCAGCCTTTTGAATCATTATCTACTATGTATTCTGAATCATCGTCAACGTATCTTCGAGCAATGGGGGCAGGCTCTAGGGGTGCACCTTTTCAAGAATCATCTTTTTCTTATCTCCCCATGGTTCCCGAAAATAACACCGAGGAAGCTCACCAACGGTGCCAGAAGAATAGGAAGAAAAAGAATTCATCTCAAGCATGGGTAGCAACAAGTTGCAGGCCCATGGAAGCATCAAGTAGTTCAAGCCAGAATGGTAAAACAACAAACATTGCAGATGCTTCATCGGTCGTTACCGGTAATGAAGCTGCACAAACGAGCTACATGAGTTCAAATCATGCAAAGGCTCCGACTCAACCCGCAACAGAGGGTATATTAATAAAATCTAGTTCTCAAACGAGCTCAGGCAATGCAAGTAGGATAAGCCAGTCTTCATCAACTCCAAATCTTGCTAATGGTGGATACTTGGAATCAGAATCAAATGTTCCTGCAACACACAGGCAGAAGCCGTCCTCGAGAAGCCGGGTTCTAAGGATTGTACAAGAAGTTCATACAACCAACAAATCTTTGGCCAAGAAGGTGCTGAGCTACTCTTAAATATCATGAAGGAAAAACATACACTACCTTTAAAGAAATATCTGCCTTGATACTCAAAATCAGAAAGGGTTAATTAGCCCCTATTTACAAAGTTTGAAGATTATGGGTTTGATACATGTTTCTTTTACTATTACAATGCCCAAAAAGATGTAAGATTTCTGAGTAACAGCTGGAAAAACTAGAAGTTTAACCACATGTTACACATTTGCATGATAGTTCATAGATATTGATAGCTTAAGGGGTGTGTGAACCATGAATTATCTTCTTGTCACAAAAATTGGTTAAAGTTCATCAAATCCGAAAAGGTATTAAATCTTCTGATAACGGAAACAAATTAAGATCGAGTTTCAAAAAATATATAAATATTATGTTGAAAGAAAAATCAAGGTACAGAATAACTCAATTGGGAGAGTGTCAGACTGAAGATTTAAAGGTTGTCATGCCCATCACAATTTGGATTTTATTTTCCTTTTCTCCGTGTCTGAAGTGGGCTAACTATGAGCAATAACAAAGTGTAGACTTGCTCCAAAGCCCAATATCGTTTATCAAAACCAAAACCATTGTATTCATCGTTGTTTATGGATTCGGCTAATCATCTGAGAATGGGCAAAGTCTACTACCCTTTTCCAATGCCCACAATATGAGAAACGAAGCCTTTCTTGTTTTGACTGCTGCGGGGGATACTCAGCGAGTGGTGGTTCCATTGTCAAAAATTATTTCGCAAAATGTGATGCATCTGTCAGCTACGAGTGTAGGCAAATGGCAAGCAATCACCACTATCCTTGGCATTTCTTGTCTACTTGGTCCAACCATTCTTCGAAGATAAACCTTAGCCTAGCTTAGGTGGGTGTTTGCAGCTAAGATAGTGGGGAGGTGCGAAAGTAAATGAACGAGATAATAATATCGTGAACTCTATAAAACACAAGAAAAAGTAGTCACTCCATTCAAATTATTATCAAAGCTTAAGAAGATTTTAATGGGACGAAACAAATAATTGTATGGTGGATATATGTTGACGGAGAACCCTTCGGAGAGTTGGTTGGTAGTTTCTAGGTGACGTAGGATGCCATGTCCCACCTGCACCAACTAAGTTGCCACGTCATTTAGTGGGCCAATGCATTGCTCATTTTGGTTGGTGAACCAATGTGGAATAAAAGAAGGTGATTAGTATTCAAATGTTGAAAACTTACCAACCCCAATCCCCCCACCTTACTCCTTAATTTATTTAACATTGGAAAAACGTTGCTAAAATCATTACATCACATGACACTTTTCTATCTCCAAAAGAAAAGATCCCAAAGGATCAACTAAAAATCAAACAAGTAATTAACTCTACTCTTCGGGAGCAGAAACCTACAGTAACAAGTAGTAGTTTTGCTTTAATTAATAAAAGGGAGGAGTTAATCGCACCACCCAAATAAACTAAAGGATATAAATACAAATAATTATAGATGATAAACACTTAACAGAAACAATTAGGCTCAGTCAAGGCAAACGCCTCAAAACAAGCCCATCCAATCCAATCACCGGAAGGTGATTGACCCAATTTTTAAAATATTACTAAAATTTTGAGATTTATTTTAAAAAATTCCATAAATATCTTGAAAAAGTCTTCAAATAAATAGACCTATAATATTATGCTCAATAATTCTTCATAAGAGAAATCTATAGCACTTTAAGATAATTGATTTTTTCTATAAGAATTTATGATGTCGTAACACCACGATTCATCTCACACTAGAACTTTTAATAAATTTTAAATAATTTAAATTTTAAAATCTTTTTTAAACACCCTTAAGACCTAAAATTATAATTCAAATTGTAATACACAGATCTATTGGCGAAATATATGATAACTACGTTGTATACTATTTTTAGATTTTTTTTAATAAATTTATAAATCATTTAATCATCCTATTAATTTTATTTGTAAAATTTAAAATACAATTAAAACTATGCTAAATAATTTCACTATAAAGAACCAAATGTTTTTTTCTTCCACCAACCCCAAAACCAAATCCCCTCCCAAGTTACACTCAAACAATCCCTCGACATCCAACGGCTACATTTGGTCTTCCAACACTCTCCTATCAGCCGCCAGATGCTGATATTACCAAAATTCCTACCCAACACGAAAAATATAAAAAATAATCCACACTGACTAAACTGGTAACCGGTAAGATAAATTCGTTTTCTCTATAAATCGCCGCGTTCGAGGCTAGATTCATTGTGCCGTTGAGTTCCGCTGCATTAGTTCTCTGCTCAGCTCAACAGTCTCCATCTCTCTAGGCCTAAAATTCAGGTACGCGGTAATTCTCCATCACAGGTTGCCTCTTCCACTATTTTTCTGGAGGTTTTGTTTCTATTGTCTGTTGGTTTCATCTGTCGTATTTGTTTCGGGGATTTCGCTTTGTTGCTTGTAGTGGCAAAGGAAAATGAGTGTTTTAATTTTGTATTATCTGTGTCTGTATCGTTTTCTGCTGATGTTATGGTGAATTGTTTTCAGATCTGTGCGGTTTTTCTGTTTGTTATCGATTTTTAGTGTGTATGTATATTTTCTTAAAGATACGAGATTTTGAATACAGATTGTTTGTGGAAGTTAATGTACATTTCGTTTTAGAGTAAAGCTTTGATTGTTTTTGGATGATTCGGTTTTGAGTTGGATCGACTGGATCTGCAAATTTTACATTATTTTCGATCTTCAAATTGAGTTTAAAACTTATGAACGGTGAGATGCGTCTGTCAATCATTTCTGTGCAAGCTAAAACTCCGGTGGCCTTTTTATTTGCCAAGTTTTTTTTAGTCTGTCGGTAGTTGTCTTTTTCCGATCACACGTCTGCTAAACTTGTTCGATAATTCCATAAATACTTGACTTGTTTCTGAAAGTGAGATATTGCAGTGAGATACATAACTGTGAAATTGCAACAACGTTCATGGTTTTAAAAGTATGATATTTCTAAATTATTGTTCACGGTGCTGACTTTCCTAAGAATATAATCTTCCTAGAAAGCATGGTGCTATTTTGTTTAATGCCTAATTCTACCGTTTTGGTGCTGTTCCAGGAAAGCATGAAGAATCAGTGGTTTCTTATTTTTTTATTTTTGATCTTTAATTCCTCTGTTATTAGCAGCAGCATTTTCGCTTGGCCTACCAAGCTAATTAAGATTCTTTGGTGTTCTTGCAATATGCAGCTTGTTGGAATGGAGACCTTTCTATTCACATCTGAATCCGTAAATGAGGGTCACCCCGACAAGCTTTGTGACCAGATCTCTGATGCAGTGCTCGACGCTTGCCTTGCCCAGGACCCTGACAGCAAGGTTGCTTGTGAAACATGCACCAAGACCAACATGGTCATGGTCTTCGGAGAGATTACCCACCAAAGCCAATGTAGACTATGAGAAGATTGTCCGTGACACATGCCGCTCTATTGGATTTGTTTCTGATGATGTGGGTCTTGATGCCGACAACTGCAAGGTCCTAGTCAATATTGAGCAGCAGAGTCCTGACATTGCCCAGGGTGTGCATGGCCACTTTACCAAGCGCCCAGAAGAAATTGGAGCCGGTGACCAGGGTCATATGTTTGGCTATGCCACTGATGAAACCCCGGAATTTATGCCCCTTAGCCATGTCCTTGCAACTAAACTTGGGGCACGTCTTACTGAGGTTAGGAAGAATGGCACCTGCCCCTGGCTAAGGCCTGATGGTAAAACCCAAGTGACTGTTGAGTACTACAATGATGATAAGGGTGCCATGGTTACGGTTTGTGTCCACACCGTCCTCATTTCCACCCAGCATGACGAAACTGTTACAAATGATGAAATTGCTGCTGACCTCAAAGAGCATGTTATCAAGCCTGTCATCCCTGAGAAGTACCTTGATGAGAAGACAATCTTCCACCTTAACCCATCTGGCCGCTTTGTCATTGGTGGTCCTCACGGTGATGCAGGTCTCACCGGGCGTAAGATCATTATTGACACGTATGGTGGCTGGGGAGCCCATGGCGGGGGTGCTTTCTCTGGAAAGGACCCTACCAAGGTGGACAGGAGTGGTGCTTACATTGTTAGGCAGGCTGCCAAGAGCATTGTATCCAATGGACTTGCACGGAGGTGCATCGTCCAAGTCTCTTATGCTATTGGTGTTCCTGAGCCCTAGTCTGTCTTCGTAGACAGCTACGGAACTGGAAAGATTCCAGACAAGGAAATCCTCCAAATTGTGAAGGAGAACTTCGACTTCAGGCCTGGAATGATCACCATCAACCTTGATCTCAAGAGGGGTGGCAATGGGCGGTTTTTGAAGACAGCTGCTTATGGACACTTTGGAAGGGACGACCCAGACTTCACCTGGGAAGTTGTGAAGCCTCTCAAATGGGAGAAGCCTCGGTCTTAATAAACCCAGCTTTGGCTTGCCTCCTTATAACTATGAGCAAATTCCCCAAATGTCTCTAATCTCATACACATGATTCCCTCCTATTAGTTTCCCTTTTCTTTCTTTTTTCAGGTCGTTTTGCAAAAAAAAAAATGTATGAGAAATTTTCTTATAATGATGGCATTTTAAGCAACAAATCATCCTCATATAAATACTTTATTTTTTATTTGACAATGTATTTAGTTGCATCATGCTATGTGAATGAACACTTGGATCACTACTTATTTTCCCCTTATTCTTCCAACAATTGAAAATCAGACCGACTAATAAAAGACTCTTGCAACTTCGGATTGGATAAATTAGAGTGGCAGAAAATAAAAAATGGTGCTGTTTAATGTGCCTGCATCCTCGGGATTCAACGGGGCTGTTTACATTAATGTATATAGAATGTTCGAAGAGAATCAGTAGCATAAGGGCAGAGTTGTAACATTAACATCCAATTGATGATTTTATTACTTACCATCTCATTGAAAGAGCTCTGTCGGAACAGCTATGCATTGGGCTTCGTTGGACAAGACCATTGATTTATTTGGTTTTCAAATTTGAATTCGTTCAAAATCTCTTTTGTTAAAAAATATACGAGTAGTCAATCATTTTGGGAGTAAATAGTTAAAAGTTTTAAGATTATATCTCTCATCTTTCTTAAGTTATAGGTTCAATATCCATTAGGAAAAAAAAATCTTCATCTCTCTTCTAATTTGAAATTGTTTTTAGGAAATGGGTAAAATTTACTCATCTTCTATTTTATATCAAAATTTCATATTCATATACCATTTTTTATTTAAAATATTTTGTAATGTTTTAATATAAAAAACATCATATTAAAAATTACAACATAAGTTTTAACATCAATTAAAATATATTAATTTTACAAAAATAACATGAAAGACGATGGTATGTATGTCATTTTCAAATTATATATAATTATAATTGAACATAAATTATAATTATTTTTAACGAAATTAATATATATTGACAGATGTTATAATTTATATTATAAAGCAAAGTATTTTTATAAAGTTGATGTAATTAATTTGATTGACAAAATAATCTTGTGCAATAATCACTAACAGAAGTAACCAACAGTTACAAATCAATCATATATAATTTCATTACAGTACAGAAAACAATTCAATTTTTAAATAGTGTAGACATAATATCATTGATTGCGATCCCCCAACTCCTAAAATTATAAAATCACATGATGAATTACCAAAAAAATATGAGAAAATTTGTACTATCTTTTGCTTAGTAGATTAATCAAATTTTATTAAAGAAATTATATTGCTTACTTACATTAATATTAATATTGCTTTATTTTAATTATATATTTCTATATTTTATTACTTAAAACAATATAAAATGTATTCCTTTTTATAAAAGAATAATAGTTATTTTTAAAAAATAAATATTTAAATTTTAATGACATCACAAAATAAAATTTATTATATCATAAGCTCAATGTTTAAATATTTATTACTTAATATTTCGTTTTTTTTTCTAAATTTTATATTCAATTTATCAAACAGAAACATAAACGAATATGACTAGATGAGAAACGTTGGCTATTTTTTCCATTAAAACAAGAGATTTTATTAACCACTATAATATATATTTATTCATTGGATTTTATATTAAAAGCCTGATTTTTTATAAAAAAAATTATTAAAAAATTAAAATTTTAAAATAATTAAAAAGGCAATTTCGTATTCATCGTCCAACTATTTTCTTTTTAAAATCATATATAAACTTACGTTTTGATCATACGTCATTAAAAAATTAACGGTGATACTGAAGTATAATCGTAAGATAGTTCCACATCAACATTGAAAAAATAAAAAATTATCATATTATCAATTCTATTTATTTCTTAACGATGAATGATTAAAATCAAATTAAAATATAAATTTAAACAATATAACCACAAAAATAATTAATTGACAAAAAACATAATTTATTCAAAATTAAATTATCATTAAAAATATAAAATAAATATTTAAATTATATGAAAATTTTAACTACTTCTGTCATCTTTAAGAGAAAGTATTGTAAGACAATGGACAAAGGGGTGTTGATATGGTTAAGGATGGACGAAATTCATATCCCTTGTTGTACGAAGTGAAGGAGAGAGGTGAACGTTATGTATTAAAAGGAAGAGCAAATCCTTACCCTTTCGCTAAGAAACTTGATAAATCAAAAACACAAATTAGGAAAGCAAGAGTTGGTTGGGATCGTGTCCAATCAACTGAAAATGACATAATTTTCTCTTTTTTAACCAAAACCAAGTCTTTCTGTCCATTAAAATATGTCCACAATTGCTTGGGAACTTGGAAAAATATCATGCAATATCTGATCTTCCCCGCAAAAGTCTCTTTCAAGGTAGAAATTTGGAAAAACGTGAAAATGGATGGCTGATTAGGTTAAGATAATAAAAAAAATCATTAGATTTTCCCCATTGCTGGCGTTAATTACCTTGAAAATTGCATGCTGTGCTGTATTTAAGTTTTTCCTGCAAAAGATTCATCTTCAGGTCTTCTTCTTCGATGAATCCTGGAATGCGAATCAATTGTTAAGTTGAACTCTTCCTTATTCCCCATCAATCAAAGAAAAAAAAAACAGGGTATTGTGAGAGGTGACAAAATGAATAACTTTCCCAAGGTATTTTGTGGGTGGAGCTGGGAGGAGAACAAGTTGTTTGAGCTGGCTCTAGCGGTGGTCGACGAGCAACACCCGCATCGTTGGGAAGCGGTTGCAGCCATGGTAGGAGGGCAAAAAAGTGCAGAAGATGTGCAAAAACATTATGTCATTCTTTTGGAGGATTTGCAGTTTATAGAGTCGGGCAAACTTGACCATAGTCTCGGCGAAGAAGATCGATCCGTATGCTGGACCAATGAAGATAACAAGTACATGACATGCAGTATTCTTTTCTGCGATTTCTTAATATGCTCTAATCCTTTTTCATTTTTCTGATGTATTTTGGCTTACAGACTACCGGTACGATTGGACATAAATTGATCACCGGGGCAGTGTTCGTTTATGGTAGCAGATTGTTATTGGTGGCGGTGTTTTTGATTAATGTATGAATGCTAAGTTGATGTAATCAATCTCCTTAATGATTCAGAGTCTGCAAATAGATTTAAAACTTTTTATAACGCTCATCTTATCTTATCTACTGTATTCATTTAAGCTTTTTATAACGCTAAGATTTTGGCATTAATGCTTGGAAAGGACACGCAAGATCAACAAAGAGATCCGTTTTTCTTTTTAAGATCGTCCTTATAATTCAGAATATTCTATCAATAGATTAGACATATTAATAATTAAAAAAAAGAGAACATGTTTTGTATATCTGTTTTACTTTATTGGTTTAATAAATTGACCGTCCATCTCAGTTGGTAGAGCACAAAACTTTTAATTTTGTGGTCGTAGGATCGAGTCTAACGGAAGGTAATTTATAATTTGGAGGTCTCCCACGGAAGCTGCTCTCAACCTGGCATTGAGGACAACCTACTATCTTATCTCCCCCTTACCCAATTATATATAGGAATAAGGGTAAATTAATTTATTTTTATTGGTTTAAGCTTATTCTCGAAAGTAGTATAATGGGTTTGTAATTTTAATTTAAAATAATCGACTGATGGATCGAATTAAGGTCATATACACAATTTATATTAAGGAAATAAATTTATAAAACTATAAACGACGAAAATAGATTTTTATATAAAAAAAGTTTAAAATATATAATAATCTTAAAAAGAGAACAGGTTTTGTATATCTGTTTTACTTTATTGCTTCAACCTTAATTCTCAAACGTAGACAAACTTTGCGGTTGAAGTTTTTAAGTTCTGTTTTATTAAAAAAAACTCATTTAGTCCATCTATGATTATTATTAAAAGAGATAGTTTGATTCATGAACACTTGAAAAAAATAACATTTTAGTTTAAAATTTTAATTAAAATAATAATTTTAAATATTTTTAGATCCTTATTAAATTATAAATTAAATAAATTGATCATTAAAGAATCATTTGATTTTTATATTTCGAAATTAGAACAAAAACAAGAACGATCATTATGACATCAATATTTTTAGTAGGTACACAATTATGATTAGATACCTTTATCAAATTTAAAAGTTTGTATAATATTTAAAATAATTATTAAAACTATTAAAATTAAAAAATACTAAAGATTATTAAAATAAATATAAAATAGATTATAAAAATATAAAAGAAATAAATTCAAAAAAAATATTCAAAGAATGAATCATATTGAATAATTTCTATTTTTTAAAAGAAAAGATATTTATAAAATAAAAATAAAACATACCTTTAAGATTATAAATTGTGTTCGTCTACTTTTATTTATTGTAATTATTTGAAAAAAACTTTTACAATCCTCCTAGTTCAACGTTAGATTATTTTTATTTATTATTTTATTTTGCACGAACCAATGACCTTAGTAATAAATAAATTGTTGTTATTCCTTGAAGTTTTAAGTTCGAGCACCATGAATGTCAGAGGTATAAGCATTATATCAAATTGAGAGTTATCTTTGAACATATACTATTTTGTACTATCTAAGATTAATTAAAAAAAAATATTTTGGAAGATTATTTTATTTTTAAATTTTTTAAAATTATATTTACTAAAGTTTGGATAATATTTGATTTTTTAATTTTCCTTTTTATATTTTTCTCCAAATTATAAATTTTATTGGATTTTAATATTTTTAAAGTTTTATATTATTTTGATCATATGATAAATTTATCGATTTTCTTTTTAAAAAGTATTCGTTCAAAATTGTACATATGTCATATACTAATAATAATAAAAAGTTAACACCATGCTAGATTTTATTTGCTTACTTTTAAAATACATATAAATTCCATTATTTTGTTTTTGAAAATGATTACTTTACTCGATTTAAAAAGTAGCTAGACCCGATATATATTAAAGTCAATGTTTTCAGTTCAACTAAGAGTAGATTTACATTGTTAGACTAAATTGTTCACATTTTCAAATGTATGGAGATTAGGGTTCGGCATGGATTTGAACTCCACGAGTTTGATCTGATTTAATTTTATTAGATCGAGTTTTAGAAAAAAATGAGTTCGAGTTGGGTAAATTTTTTAGAAGTTATATCTGGGTCGTGTCGGGTTCGAGTTTAGAGTGAAAATTATCAAACCTGACCCGACCCGAAAAAAATAATTCCACCTTATATATTTATAGATAATTGCAATAATACCTCTTTATTTATTATTTTTTCAAATAAATATCTATTTTTTAATAAATTAATATTTATTTTATAAATATTATTTCGGATCGGGTCGGATTTGAGTTTTGTCTCAAAAAGACAAGTCGGGTGAAGAATATATTTTGGGTCGGACCAGGTTGACCGGATACCCAACCCAACCTGACTCGTGCCCATCCCTAATAGAGACTAAAATGTTTCTTTTAATAATAAAGGGATTAAAATAATGCACGAACCTTAGCAACCTCGTGGTAAAGGAATTGTTGTTATTCCTTGAGGTCCCAGGAATCTCAGGAGTACGAGCATTTAATATCAAATAGTTGAGAGTTATCTTTGAACATATATTACATTGTACTTACCTAAATTAATAAAAAAAATTCAACAATAATTCACATTTACCTAATTACGGATAAACTAATTTAACGATCAAATTGCATCTAAAAGAATTAATCTCCAATTGGTTTCCCAATTCTGCACACCTGATTCTGTCTCGTCGATGACAATCATGACAACTGATTAACATGCTCGTTTTTTTAGTAGATATTACAACATTCCCATGAAGGTGCAATCAGATTCAGAAGAGGTAGCTGTTATGGAATCTGGATCCAAATTCAATCAGTTGGCTATTATAATGAAAGCTATAAAATAATCCCAGACAAAATAAAAAGAAGAAAAGAGGGATCAGAGAAAATGGAGGAGGCAGAGCCAGGAGGAGGCAGAGCCAGGGAAAGGCAATGCATGGGCGGAGAAACAACAGAAAGCTGTTGGTTAGAGCCATCCATGCTCAGCCTGTTCCCTTCCTTTTCTATCTCGCAACCTCACCTTGTCTCGTTCAAACCCCAAACCGAACCGGCACTGCACAATTGACCTCGGGCTGGGGCTAAGGTCCCAATCTATCTTTGTGACAAACTCATGAGCCACAAGGCCTTTTTTAGTGAACCAGGAAACTGGTCTGAGTCTATGTTGTTATTAGCGGTATTTATGTAACAAGTCCAACAGGATCGGCGGAAAACAGTACTACACGTACTAAACTGAACTGTACTAGCAATTTGAGTGCCGGTTGAAAATACAAGTTTGTGAGTACTTCTCAAGTTCTCATAGGACGAAATGTACTACACTTCATATGCTGGTGTACTCATATTCCTAATCTAGCTTTTCCTTATTCGGTTGTTAATAAGATTGCCCCACCAAATACCTGTCTAGGAGAGTATAGACCTTGTTGGCGGTGGGATAAAAAGCGCTCTGCATATAAAATGCTAATATATGAAAATGAATATAGAAACGAATTCGAGTATTCCTTTGAATGATTCTGCATGATCAGTTACTTGAATAAGGAGAGAGTGCGTAGATACATGACAAGAGATGAAGGCTGCCATATTATCGCAATGATGTGAGGATGCCCATTATGTTCTAAGGCAATGCACGTGAGCTAGAAGAACTTGAAATCCGATATAAATCATAAAAGAGAGGTGAATTCTATATCCTTGAGGTGGAAGATTGGCCGAAGAATAGTTTAACAAAGCCGGAAGTGTTCTTAGAGGATGGAAATAACTGGGTGTATTTTTCTTATCATATGTTGGAACATGTGGAAAAGAAGGAACAAATGACCGTTGAATTGTGACAGATTGCGAAATGTTTTTTTAAGGTGGACACACCTATGTTAATAATACAAAATTTTTGTACAGGATAAGTACCATCAATAAAATAAATAATCGAAGAAAGTTCGGATTTTAGGGAGAGTACGTGCCTACTCTAAGAACACTGTGGATCCCTGTTGAATGATTGTTTTGTGGAGAAGGAAAATTTAATGGAAACGAGTAGACGTCTCCTAGGATAGACTAAAGCGAACGCTGATCGTGCAATACGAGCTGAGGATGAGGCAACGGTAGGCGGTGGCGTAATAAAAAATGAGCATGGATGATGGCTTTATGGATTTACACGCAGCTTTGGAAAATGCTCGGTTCTTATTGCAGAGATTTGGGCTATACATGATGTCCTGGAACATGCATGGAGGTCAAGGATCATGAAGCTCATAGTGGAAACTGTTTGCCTGAATGCATTTAGAGCGTTAACTGATGGAACTCGAGAGAATAAAATAGTTGAAGTTATTCATAAACTGCTACAACATGCATTGGAGGTTAAGATTCGACATGAGGGACAAAATCAAAAAAGGTTGCAAATAGCTTAGCAAGAGCTAGCTGCGATGGTCTGATTGGGGAGATGAGATTTGATTCACCTCCAAATTATGTAATGGAGCAGATCAGGAAGGAGAGAACGATTCCTACTTAACCGATGGCTTTGATATGTATTAAATAAAAAGAATTGCTCCTTGCTCTACAAGCAGTACTTTGGGAGATTTATGCTTAATTCTAGTCTGGGATTTTGGCTACCGGAAAGGTCAGGCTGAATGTGATAATTTGTGCCGTTCAACTCTTAAACGATACTTCTAAGTTAGTAAACATGTATGGACTCTCGAAGTATTTTGGAGCTCAGTAATAGGCAATGGGAGACCCAAATAACATATTCCTTTCGTGAAGCAAAGTGACGGATAGATGCTCTTTGTTAGTGTGGTTTGGTAAAGAACCAGAAATGCATTACATAGTTCGTCCTCCTGCAGCATGTCCAGACATCCTCGCTGATTAAATGCTGGAACAACCTTTGTAAGAAGAGGGCCAATATTAAATAATGTGACCGCTGCTCTTTCTGTTTTTACTTATGGATAACGATTACATTAGCAACAAAGAATTACTTCACAATTCAGATTTGAGACACTAATGAAATCAGAAACATGTTGCTGCCCTTTCTGTCATTAGCTAATTCCATTTTCTGTTCACATAATAGCAGCTAGAAAAAAATATACAACTGAGATATTCTAGCTTCACTTTATATACATTTCCCCATCCAATGAAGCTCCTAAGCTTATCTGCAGAATATCACAAGCGATTTTCCAAGAGGTCGGGAAGAGTTATTTTCCCAGAGTTATTGGGTCGAGCTTGCTGAACTGATCGCATATCTGCAATATATCTTTCTCCCCGATCTTTCCCATCTCTTTAGCTTGTATATCACATACTCCGATTTACTGCAACCAGAAAGAACCACAAATCAAGTGATTGATAACAGAGAGTAATTGTCATGAATCTTAGCTAGAAAGATTGAAATCCAACCTTATAAAACCATTGTTGTTATTGATGCCGGCAGCTAGCAAATCTTCAATAGTGACCTCTCTATGCAACACCCACTTGGCGATCCTCCGATGCCTCTTGTCGACCCTTGCTTCAGCCAAATACAAAAATGCCCTAGCCACAGCCAGCGTTGAGATCAGAAGCCAAACACGGCAAACAACCTTCCGGTCAGAGTCTTAAACGCCCTATCCCCGTACCCGACTGTGGTAACCGACATGACTGACAAGTAAACCGAATCAATCCAGTCTAAGCCTTCCACAAAGTACAACATCGAGGTTCCAATTCCAATACAGAACACCACGACCCCAAGTGCCACCCAACCTTAAGCCTTATCCTCATCCGTCCTTTATCCACATCCACAATGTAATTCCTAGCCGAAAACCCTTGCTGCGATTTCTTCATGTGAATCCCAGTTAAAATCATGTTCTCTTGCAAGTCGAGAACGTAACTGACAACCCCACTCAACAATATGTCTATGAAACCGAAACCGACCAGTACAAAAACACAGGCGAAAATCTTGGTAGCGGGGGTTACGGGGGTTATCACCGTAACCGATCGTACACATGGTGACTATACAGAAGTAAAGAGCATCGACAACTGGGTGAGTCTCGATGCCGGAGAATTCATCCGTGTTGAAAGAGTAGATAGCGACACCGAGTAACAAGTAAATGGATAGAATACGGCTTGCTGATAATGGTGCTGGACTCTGATTGAGGTTTCGGAACTTGGGGTGTTTTCGGCTTCAGGTCACGCATGACGGCCATGGCCGGAGCCGTTTTACAGCGGTGGAGAGAACCGTGGTTCTTCGACCAGGCGAGGTGAGAAGGGGGAAGAGTTTGTGGGTGGTCTTGGATTTCTGATTGTGTGCGTTTGAAGCATAAGCCATGGTGGTCGTCTTCAAGGATGGACCGAAGTTGAGGTTTTGACTGGAGGCAGAGAAAAGGATCATCATCTTCCATCTCAGAAGAAGCTTCTACTAATTTGCAAAGGAGACAGAACAGTGGTCTGAGATTGAGGGGATTGTTGAGAGACAGCTGATTTCTACCGTGGGGTAGTTTCTTCGTCCAATGTTGTTTTTTACGTTAGTGGGGAACAACGTTCGCCATTTGTAAGAAACTGCTTGAGGAATCCAGGAACCGCAGGTTCTTTATCTTCGCAAACCAATCATTGCATGGCGCCATATCCACAACTATTGGTTCAGAATAAATGAAATAAATTACTTTACTACCGATAAAGTAAACCATGCACTTTTTCAATTACAGAACTGATTGGTCGCAAAAATAATTAGTGCCGAGAAGAATAATTGGATATCGTACATCAATTGGTTTTTATATAAATTCAAAATGTTAGGTTTATATTTTTGCAGAAAATTTAAATATTTATGTAAATTTTTTCTCGATTATATGTTATTATTTTATTAAATTTATTGACTATTAAAAGTTATAAATTAATTCACTGATTGTAAGATATCATTTTATTGAGTCCCCTTACTATAAAAAAGTTATAAAATAATCACCTGATTATTCATATGTTCTAAACTCGTATTTCTCTGTTAAAAAATTGGTTGTCGTCTGAGTTAAACGTTAACATGTTCACTAGGATATGATGAAAATTTGATTCCATAACTATTTGAGTTATATTTTATGGATCGAATATATGTTTATATTATATCATCGAGTTAGTGCTTGAAATATTATGTCATAGAGTCAGTGCTCGAAATAACGGCGATGCCAGTAGATATCATTAAAATATAATTTTATCATATTTCAAGACGACCGTCAATTTTCAACAATAAATAGTGAGTTTGGAATATATGAATAGTCAATTAACTATTTTATAATTTTTAATAGTCAGGAGACTCAACAAAACAACATCCTATAGTCAAAGAATAATTTTATAACTTTTAGTAGTCAAAACTTATTAAAACAATGTCTTATAATAGGAGACTATTTATATACTTTATTTTTTTATTATATAAATATTAATAAAGTTGATCAATTCAAATATTTTACTAATGTTAAACTTTAAACCGATGGAACTCGATGTACAAGTAAATGTATTTAATAATTAAATAATAAATGAAACTATTGATGAGGTTGATTCGAATGTAAGTAGTTTGATATTACTTAAGTAGGTCTCAAGTTTGAGGTCTTGTGTATACAGAAAATCTATGTTGAAAGATACATCCATTAAAACTAAGTGTACGATATGAGTTGATTTTGACTAATCAAGGCGGAATCCTGAAACTAGAAAGACGATAAAAAAATAATAATTGAAACTAATATTAGGTGTGTGAGTATCGTTTATATAAAAATAAAAAGAATAATAAATGAACTACTTTTATTATGTTGACTGAATGATAGTGACGGTGAGCTGGAAATTGAAATTTGTCCTACTGATAAGAAAATCATAATAGTGTACGTATCAGAAAAAGCCACCTCAGACCTACAATTATATATTACACACACAACTTCCATTGGATAGACTTGTCTTCTAAATTTGAACGTCAAGGCAAAGCCTACAACAAAGTTTGGTGTGAGGTATTTAAAATAGTGATATCCGATAATATCCATTGTTTGTATACATTACAAAGGGAAGATGCATGTTACAATATCCAAATCTTGTTGCAGGGCAGTGATCGTTGGGGTTGGCCCTTTCTTTGCCATTTTTTTCTTTATTTCATACTGATTATTTATGCAACGTTAGGTCCTTTTATTATAAGATTATTTTTTATATAATACTATCACTTCTTTAATCGAAGAAAGGGTTGTCTAGGTTCAAAAATATTATTAACTTGATTAACATACATGCTACCTTTTTTTCGAGAGGGGTCATTCTAGAGCAACCGTCTTTTTACAAGACTATTAATATGTTTGGAGGATTAGACTATCATAAGCTACACAAGACATGCCAAATGAAATCTGTTTCTTTCTGGCATCATTATGTCACATGATTTTTATATACTTGAAGTATATAAAATAAATTCTTATATGATAGAGAGTAACGAGAGAAAAGAAAGAAAAGAAAACTCTCAGAACAAACATTGATTGATTAGTTGTTCTTCGTCAAAATTAAAAGAGATAAATCATTAAATAATTGACTGATCTCTACATTTCCCACCTTTTAAACCATAATGAATCATCACCCTATATATTGTTCATCAATATTTGGTAAGGTGAACATGAGAACACTTATAGTTCAAGGAATCAGTCACGATACAACTCAAACACACAACACCCTCGTTTTAAGCTAAAAGTAAAATCAATTAGTGCAAGGACAAGAGGCTATTTTCGAGCTAATGAGATCAATTAGGCAACTGAAAGGAATATGTCATTCGAATAAGGTAAGAACCGATGAGAGGCACGAAGGAGAACATACAAAATCGACATGCAAGCATTGTAATAGGGAGAGGATAAGCAGAGAATGTCAATTAAGAAAGGCACCAACCTAGAGGACGGCGAGATGTGTACATGTAACCCCAATCCAATTTAGAGGAGCGTAAAATGGGTGAATGCCTCCTCAACAATACAACAAAAAGACATAAGATGAGACATGCAACCTCAAACACAGAACAAAAATCCTCTACCCCTTTGTGTGTCCTCTTTATACCCCTCCAATCAATTTTTTACACGTGTAATTTTTATTTCTTGGCAAAACTTATGTAATCTTCCAAAAAGATTTAATTTCCTATTTTACTTCATCTTCAACACAGAACTATGTGAACTTTCCCCCCCCCCACCATATCTGCAAATAAGAAAGGGGTAAGTCACTGAAATATAGCATATCTGGATCCAAGTAACAGTCATGCTTTCCAACCTCAACCTGTTTTGCAGTGTCTGGACATAGTTGATAATCTCATCAAGCATCAGATCTTTCCTAGTAATCTGAAACAACGAAACCGCATCGAATAATCGAGATCCTTTCTCGTTTTAAAGAAAGAGTCTACTATGAAACCATGATCCTATAGTTACCTTGCTGCAATCTCTAACTTATCTTTTCCTTCTCAGTTCTTACCTGCAATCATGAAGATTACCGGACTCGATACGGAGTTAAGAACGCGAAACGTTGTTCTTTCGATATGGAAACAGTAATAAGTTAATCTTTCTTCCAGGTTGTGACTTTTAGTAATAGTAGCCTGGCCCCTTCTTTCCCTAACATGGATGTAATTCTCTTTAGGAGCTTCCCCGGTTTGAGAATCGTCTTTGGCATGTTTCGCTACTTGCTTATCAAGTGAATTTGCACCTTACGTTCTATCCTAACAAATTTTATATTGGGATGAACTGAGTTGAAATCTCCCTAGAACGTAAGCTTCATAATTGAGGGTGATTTCGCCTCGGTTAGAGACAAGAGTGAGAGGAGCGAATGCGTAAGAATGTTGATAGGCATTGTTAACTTTAATTCCTTCATAGAGAACTGCCATTTAGTTAACTTACCAACGGTGAGAAAAAAAAAAGTTAAAATAATTCTGCCTCTAATGGATTTGGAGGTTGAAGATGAAGTAAAACAGGAAAATAAATCTTTTTAGAATTACAGAAGTTTTGCCAAGAAATAAAAAAAATTACACGTGTAAAAATTTGATTGGAGGAGTATAAAGAGAGACACAAAAGGGGCTGAAGATTTTTGTTCTCAAACACACATCAATAAGTCCTTATAAAAAGCACATAACTTAATATAACAACAATTATTATTACGAGAATGTTGTAATTGTATGTTAAAAAATAATAGTATATATGTTTTATTAAAGGTTAAGATGGGTCCCATGATTGTAGGGTTGAGATTCCTCAACTATATAAATTTAGCTGGATAGGTCGAACGCCTACGACTGTAGCACTCGCGCTCTCGATCAAATGAGATTCGTAATCCAATATTTAATTCAGAAAGAATGAACTACTAGATCATCGCATGCATAAAAATTACAGTTGCAATAATTTTGAAACTTCGAATGATTGCAAATGTGTGAAAACTGCAAATCCTTGTATTAAGTCCATGTGAAATTGAAATTGTAAATACATATCTCTCTCCATCCAAATAAGAAATGATGAATCAATGTTGAAACGGTTTATTAGAGATAATATAGTAAATTTATCCTGAAATAAATTAAGTTTGAAATATTAAAAAGTTATAATTAGGTATGAGTATGTGATTCGAAATTGACGGGGTCTGACTTGACTCTATTGGGTCATGTTTTTAAAAAACATATATATATATTCGGGTCAGGTTAGAATTTTAGAAAATATGTTCGGGTCGGATTGGGTTTGAGATTCTGGAATGACCCAACCCAAAAATTAATGTGATTATACCTTATATAAATTTAATATTTTTATCAATAGCACCCTTCTCTATATTATTTTTTCCAATTAAATCTCTATTTTTATCGAATAAAATTAATATTTTATAAATTTATTTATTTCGGGTCATGTCATGTCAAATTCGAGTTTTATGTCAAAAAAAAGGTCGAGTTTGATTTGGGTCGGGTAAAGTCACCATAAACCCGAATCAGATCAAGTTTCAGATGGATGATGTAAATTTTTCGAGTTAAGTTAAGTTGACCAGAAGCCTGACCCAACCCAATCTATACTCATCTCTAGTCATAACTTTAAAATTTACAGCTCTTCACCTAAATAAAAAATAAAGAATTGCATAACTCTCCAAAGAAGCATTGATAACCATAGTGTCGTAAATCATCTACTCAAAGATCTACACTTGAACCACGAAAATGTCAATAAATCCTTTATTGCTAGATCACTGCTATTGACATATGTGGATGTCTCAAATTGGGGGGGGGGGGGGGGGGGAACCCTCCATCCATGCAGTAATAGAAGTTTCTTAACTAGAGTCGTTAACCCGTAAGGTATGATAAGTTGATTAATTTATGTGGTTTTCTGTCCGAATCAGTAAATGATGAACCACTCTGTAATTCTTTTGCTATCAAAAGCATTAAGATAATATTAAAACCTTCATATATTAGGATGCCAACTAATGAGATATATGAATTTTCACTCGAATCAAGAAAAAGTGAATCACCATTTATCCTTATAGTGAGATATCTCTATCTATACAAACATGTATGCCTCTTGGATTCCTCAACAACTAGATTGGTGCTAAAGATATCGTAAGGATGTCTCTAAGTGAGATACCTTCATCCATTCAATAGAGATATCCTTGAATGAGATGTCTCGTTATATGACTAGTAATACATGATCCTTTGCTCTATCAAAAAGGTTAAGGAACCAATGAAATCTAAGGGAGAATTTGGTTCACAAAATATAAGATTATCTTCAGGAATAAGATTACCAGAATGTAATCTTACTCTAGGAATGTTATTTATCTTGTTTGATTTTTTTATAGGAATGTAAGATGACAATCTTTGGTTGGAGGACTATAAGAGTATCTGAATTCACATTTTACTAAAATCATTCTTGTGATATTGTTCTTTCAAGAAATTAAACTTTAATATTAAATTATAAATATTTAATTAAAATTTATAAAATTATTTTAATCGTTGCAAAATTTTGTTAGAGTAGGTACCAAATATGATATATCCTGAAAAAAAGCGTGGAATCGGGGTGAATTGGGCCTTATTGAGAGTATCAGAGTGAATAGACTAGGGAGTGGATCATAAATGAACTACTTGGGATTTGGAAGACCGTGAATTGAGTTAAAAGAAAGGCCATAGCATAGTTAACATTATGAGAAGAAAAAAAACTAAAAACCCTAAGCAAAGCCCATAGAAAATGCCCAAATCAAAATTCCCTTAAGCAGGTGATTGATTTCAATTGTCCTTTACTCTTCTCTGTCGTAACTCGGTCGTCATGGACACATAGAGATGAAGCAGTAGGGTCCAAGATGCTGTAAAGTCAACCAAATCCACAATAGTTCCACGACAATACCAAATCAAATGCCTTGCAAAATGCTCTGAAGCTCTGTCGTTGTTGCAGGACAGCTTAAGTGGATAAAGTGCTTTACGCTATAGTTTGCACTATCTATAAACGTGTATGTAAAGGATGGATGATTGGCAAGAGCAATAGTCTCCTCTTAAAATTATAAAATTTTATATATTTTAAAATTTTTAAATATTTTTTTATTAGTAATACATTTTTATTTCTTAAAATTTTATAAATATATCCTTTAAATATTATAAATTCGTCTTATAACTTAAAATCTTATGTAATTCTCTCTCTATATATATTCCATTTTACATCATAAATTGACTTTGAGAGATATATAACTGAATCACACGTGACATGCCTTTATTCTTTTTCTATTTTCTTTTTGGTTGGAAATTTGGAATTGCATACATTTTGAAATCTGGGTCGGTACTCGGTACTAGTCGGTAGGTATGATTATTTGTCTTCAACTTGTTTTTGGTACATGAAATGTAATGATGTGTATCACTCCTTTTCTAATACTATGTGATTTTTACATGTTAGAGGCTTATGAAATGAACTACCAAGAATAGGATATAAAGTAACTTTCAAATGGTTATGTTGATTAAATTCATGTTAAAACATATGTATTTATATTTATACACATATTTAAATTCTTGATTAATTTTAATGTCACCAAATTCAATAACATCAATTCAGTTAATAAAACATAGAAAAATATAAAGTTTTAAAGAATTAAACACGTAATTACTAAATTTACATATTAATCTTTCAACATTCATCTACGATCATTTATTATTATAGTTGCATATTTTACATAAAACAATATAATAAAATTTAATATTTATTCATATATTTTTAAATGTTCAACATAGAACTCCACAGGGATGGAAATCGGAATTTTTCATCCTACAAATTT